GTAAGCAGAGTCGATAAACATATAATATTCTTGTATATAGAGATATTTTAATCCATCTTATAGTCTATTTTCGAAAGTTTTAAAGGAATTATTTTATTCTTCAAACTTGTTTTCATAAATGGTATTTTGGGTTATATTCATTATGTCTTATTCAAGAAGGTTTGACCTTCCCTTGAAACTGGCCATTCCGTTGTTGATAATCTGTGATTACTGAATTGGGTTTTAAAGAAACCACTTATTGATCCTTCTTAATTTGGTTTGAAATAACATGCATGTTGTAGCAATGTTTCCAATTTTAATCTCTCTCTCTCTCTCTCTCTCTCTCTCTCTCTCTCTCTCTCTCTCTCTCTCTCTCTCTCTCTCTCTCTCTCATTCTACATGATCTGCTCTCTCTCTCTACCGTTGTATGGAAACCAAATCACTTGTGTCATTGTTGTGTCAAGCTGTATTTTACAGATTCCGTTAATCTTTACAAATTGCGTTAAAATTGTTTTACATTTTGCGTTAGGTGTTTACATATTGCGTTAAAGACATTTTTACATTTGGCGTTAATCTTTTACATATTGCGTTATATTTTACGTTTTGCGTTAAGTTTTTACATATTGCGTTAGTTTTACATATTGTATTGATTTTACGTATTGGGGTTGTACGATTCTTTCATATCACAGTTCAAGTACATTATCTAATATCAACTATGATGATTCTGCTATGTTAACTTTTTTTAACATAATAACTGTTATAAATTATCTGAAAGTGACGACTGTTCTTTTACATATTTAAGTAGTATAATAATTAGGCCCAAAACAATCGTGGTCGATAAATTGAGCAAATGACAGCGCCTCTGAGACACGACCTCAATATAGCTGTCTCAAGCTTCTCAGTTATTGTTTCCCGCAGCAGTCCAAGTGTATAGTGGTGGCCTGTAAGCAGTCGAACCTGAGTCCAGATTTCCGAAGCTCTCTTAACTTACAAACCAGTGACTGACATCATGAGCACCAATCTATGAAAATGGGATTCTCATTGGACAAGAGAAGTTTGGGACGCCTCTCGGTTAATCGGTTAAGTCACCTCTCGTGACATGCATGGTTGCTGTGGACAAACTGCTAGCTAAAGTGAGTTAAGTTTTAGGCCGCACTCAGCAATATTCCAGCTATATGGCGGCGGTCTGTAAATAATTGAGTCTGGACCAAACAATCAAATGATCAACAGCATGGGTATCGATCTACGCAATTGAGCATCGATCTGCGCGATGACATGTGTCAACCAAGCCAGCGAGCCTGACCACCCGATCCCGTCAGTTGCCTCGTACGACAAGCATGGGTTACTGACGATCAATTCTAACCCGGATCTTCACTTGTGCCAGTTATAAAGACATGTACAGGTACTGTGTGGCAGTGTTATTTCTTGTCGCAAAAATGTTTCAAGTTTATTCCAATGTTTCTGTTGACATTAAGGAGGTCACAATGGTGTGCTATATTTAGACAGGGAGACAACACGGCTGGGGAAATTTCTGGGACAATTTTGGAAAATTTTGGAGGGGTATGACAGAGAGTTGGAGAAAATTCTGGAGTGGTAGGACAGAGAGTTGGAGGAAATTCTGGAGTGGTACGACAGAGAGTTGGAGAAAATTCTGGTAGCTTTTTCTTACATGAATATACGGGTAGCTAGCTTCCTCTTGCCCCATCTCACATTACAAGAACAGCAGTTGTGTGAAGATCACTTCCACCCTGAATACTCAGACTTGGCCTATTTTGGAAGAAGCCTAGGCCTGACCAACGTTGAAGTTACCACTCACTGCATTTATGTCTATTATCATTGCTTAGGTATTTAGTCTGTCATACAGACCCTGAAGCAGATATATCCAAGAAAGCCCACGAAAATGTGACAAATCTAGATTTCACAGCTTCAAGCAAAATGAAGTAATTCTCAAGGCTTCTTTTCATTATATTTGTTTTACTGTGAACCCTTTTTTTTCTGTAAAATATGTTCATTTCAGAGACTCGTTGTTAGTGTACTTTGATATTATACTGCCTTTGAATTTGTACGGCCTCTCTGTTTTGAACAGACATTAAAATAAAAATTGAATAGTTTAAGAATACAATTGTTGATTGTCACATCTCTTTATTGTATATTCTTTTCACATCGAGATCTTTTACGGGCTTATTTCCAGCTAATTTATAGTTTCAACTTGGGAATCATACTCGTCAGTATCACATCAACACACGTGAGTGAGTGAGTTAGCTTTTAGGGACATCAGAAATGGGCTTCAAACATTGTACCCATGTAGGGAATCGAACCTGGGTCTTCAGCGTGACGAGCTGACGCTTTTACCATTAGGCTACCCCACCGCCCCAATCCATATGACGACGGTCCACCCGAACGCGTTATTCGCATCATACGACATGCATGGACTGCTGACAGCACATGCTGCTCGGATCTCCACTGGGTGTTAATGAATTTCACACGTGTGGTACGTTAATACATAGCATTGTTGTTGCCGATAAACAACACGTCGTTGCTATGGAATTCCGTTACTTTTAGCCATCAGTATGAAATGGTTAATGGAAAGAATTGTCTCAGCGAACAAACAGGCCATAGCGGAATGAATCCATAATCATTGTTCCTTTACAAGCGCCCACAAGAACAACGTCTTCTACGGCATGGACTATAACGACGACGATGAAATATTACTGACATTAATACCAACCACAGTTGTATGAAAGCTTACGACGACGATGAAATAAAAGACGTGTGTGTGTGACGACAACACCATTGAGATCAGCATCATGACAAAACCTACGCCAACGAGGGAGAGGTTATTTAAGCTTCCTTTCATCAACACATACTTATAGCAGCCCTAGTTCTAAGACCGCTCTGTGGAACGCTGCCTAGTCACCAAGTATACAACACGTCTATTAACTCCCCAACTAAGGGGGTGATATAGGGACCATATTTCACCCATGGCATATGCATAAGTCGAATTTGGTTCGAAATTACAACTGGAGACATGAAACTTTTTTGGAAAACAACACTCATCTGTTTGTTACGATATTTCGTGGCAGTTTCATGTCATTTGTATCAGGTCAACGGATCATGAAGTTGCTCTGAAACATGAAAAGAGTCGATATCCATAAACGTTTCATGACGACATCTGCATAGTTAGAAAAATGAACAGACAAAATGGAAATCGTGACGGAATCATCACACGTGTTCAGTCAAATGAGAATTATAGATTATTTTCATCACTACTTGTTCATTTTCAAGTTGTGACAAGAGCACATGCCTATAGAACTGATTAATGTCCAACGTGCTGCTTGAAAAGTCTTTGGGGAGCGTTTAGTGTTCTTTGGGTTTTTAGCCTAAAGTTTGAACTTAGCAATCATTTACGGAATTTCATTAGGGCCAAAGACTAATATTTTTATCTTTATTTATTGCATTGCAATAGTGCCAGTTCACAAAATGATAAGCCATGGGAAGTTCATTTGCTGGATTCGGTTTCTCTTGAATTTTCAAGATATAAAGATGGTGCTAACAGACGTATTATTGTGTGGTGTTTAGGTTTGGTGTTTGTGTGTGTGTTGTTTTTGTTGTTTGTTGTTGTTCATGTTCAAGGGCTTCGGTTTTGTCTTTTGTGTGTTCTTGTTTGATGTTTAGGTTTTTCGGTTTAATAAAAAGTGTTTTTGTTTCAAATTGTGTTGTTTGTTATTATTGTTGTCTGATGTTAAAGGGTTTCGGTCGTGCATAAGTGTTTCAGTATGTGTTGTTTGTTGTTCAGGGATTTCGAGTGTGACTTGTTGTTGCACTATGCACAATGCCTTTTAGAAAGTGATCAAATGCAACATGTTATATTTGTGTGCTGGTGACGTGTGATTTTAATTACTTTCGGTTGAGCACAAGTGATCTTTGTGTGTTGTTCTTGTTGTTGCTGTTGTTGTTGTTGCTTGTTCAGGCCTACAGATAACCTAGAATCATTGCTTATTTAATCACAAGTTGATAACATTGGTTATAGACACCTTTCTCTGGTTTTCAATATATATTTACGCCGGTCTATTGGGGATTATTTGATTATTTATGAGATGAGTTTTCATTTGTGTGTGTTCATGTGCTGCCCTTATAAAGTGTATAACATGTAATCACACACAACAGCGTTGTTTGTGTCCGAGTAACAAGCGAAGTACAGCCCCGTTCATACATTATTCAAGGCAATAGAGTTCATACAAGTTCATACAAGTCTGCATTCGATTTGTCAATAACGGTTTGCAAAATTCCCCAACTTGAAAAGGATGCACATGGCAATGACAGTGTAATATTTATTAGAGATTGGTTTCAGCCATTTTTCAAATGTATTTGTACAAACTCAAAATAGATGGGTAATGGTGAAATATTTTGCTTATTTTAAGTGCAGTGGCAGACAACCTCAAGAGACAACCTCATCACACAACCGCAACCTCATCAACCAGTGTCATCACTGGGGAGTGCGTCAACAATGCTGGACAATCAGCTGTGGTCAAAGGTGTTTCATTTCTCCCAGTAAAATAGTCCAGTCATTGTCATCCAAAATAGGTAATGGTAGCCTGGGCAACTGTTTATATAACTGGACAATATCGGCCACGACCATTTTAACCTAATACGATGATTCATACGATTGGGAACGAAGACACAGTTAATACAACACGGAAGTAAAACATGTTCGACGGTACATATTCAACAATATGCAAAACAGCATTGGGAATAACGACCAAGCTCTAGATGGCTATGACAGTTACAATTATTGAGGACAAAACGTGACATGTGAATATTGACACACCATAACACAGACATGTTGTCCTGGAACAAACATCCTCCGACATTTACAGACTAAACTCTTTATATTAACCTGTTCCTACAATGAGTCTATATGTGTAGCAGGGAAATATGAGACAGTTTCAAATCATAAAAACGTAATATATATCTCAACAATGCTCTACTGTTACGGATATGTACAAGAAAGAGAGGCTTACCTGGCGATATGCTTACTTTCCAACACAATCACAGGATGCACGAGGATTTCGTGTCCATCTAATATCCTTGTCAAGTCAATGTATCAGCGATATGGTCTACACGGATATATCATGTGCTTCGTGCAATATACCGATGTTTGTTCACGCCACTGTTACACAATGTATGTACACTTCATGCTCCTCGTGCAGTATAACAGGTGAGTGACTGTATTTTTAGACGCATGTATATCTCGTGTCCCTCGTGCAGCGTGTCCGGTGCGCCTAAACTATTTTCACTCCACCGCTACACATGCATTAATTTTTCATGCTCCCAGTGCAATGGATATGATTGTTGTATCACTGTTTGGACAGAATACCAGATGGCTTCAGGCGATCCGTATAAATAGATGTTGTGACGACTGCCTGATCAATATATTTATCTCCACAGGATCTTGAGGTTTACGTTGTATCGTTTCTTGCATTTGCAGAGTGTAACCATCCTAGAACGAGGGTTTGTCGTTCAATTAATACTCAATTCACCAATCATCCAAATGGGATTAGAACAAGCCGTTTTTCATTCGCCTTTTACCCTCGAGAACACTGGTGGTAGTTCCTGTGATTGTGGTTGAACTTTCTTGAGAGAAACTGTTATCGTGTTTCTTTGATTATCCAAAACTGGTAGATGTCCATGTTTTGATGTAGAACAATATAAATAACAGTCAGATGGCCATGTTCTTGGCGTTGTGGCCACTTCTTTGTGGGTTTTTATAACTCCTTACGATCCCAGCGAATATATCCGTCATCTCAAGTTGACACTTTGATGGACACTCCAATCACCAAGTCCGACTGTGTTATCGAAAGTTTACCTCACATATACCGGATGTCAATTACATTCGGCTGGTATCTCCGTCTTTCGGAAACCTTGTCGTATCCTTTTGAAACCTGTCATTTCGTCATCCCAAAAGCTTTTAAACTGTTCATTCACCAAAGACCTTTATCATTTGCCCATTAAAGCTTCTCGCAACATTCGCATCCCTGCGAGGATCTCTGGATGCCGATAGGGGGCGTTGTGTGTGAGAGGCAGACGACTATTGATCTCAAGAAAGGGTGCTCAGTTGTTGAACCAGCCGCGAGCGCAGCAGTAATTGGCTGCGCAGGGGGATCCCTTTGGCATCGCTTTAATCGTCATATTCCGATAGCTTCAACCAAAGATCTGTCATCAACATAGTATTAGTAGCCGGAGGTAGTCAGATCTCACCTGGCGACGTGACAGCGGCGGGAATGTTGTCGTCTGCTCATTGCAAAATCATTAACAGCTCACCTGATGATGGTGTTCGGTTTCTGAAGATCTGGGTGTTTTCTTACAAATCCTTTGACAAAATTTATTAGTGTTGACTACTATAGGTAAATAGCTGACTTGAAAATTACACTTGGCTTAATCCATCAGGTTAAGGTTTCAAGAAGATAAATTTCACATTTGTACGAAAGGTGTTCCCGAATTCTAAATGTAATAACACCGGCCATATACTTAAGTTTAACACTGTGGCAAATGAGATGAATGATTACGGGTGTACGAGAGCAAAATCAATACATTCCAGGCTTTGGGGAGAAAAAAACCCGAATTTTTAGTAAATTCAAATTTTGCGAAGTAATCACCTTTGACTGCAATGCACTTGGCCCAAAGATGTTCAAGATGTTGCCCTTTTTTCTGTAGAAGCTTTCCTCTTGATCGACTACTGCAGCTATGAAGTCATCGTCGCTTGCAAAAACGGGACGTCGAAGGTGTGAATTCAGTTTTGCGAATAGGCTGAAGTCTGATGATATCGACCCGTGAAGATCCGGGTTAGAATATTGGTCTTCAGTAACCCATGCTTGTCGTAAGAGGCAACTAACGGGACTGGGTGGTCAGCCTCGCTGACTTGGTTGACACATCGGTTCCCAATTGCGTAGATCGATGCTCATGCTGTTGATCACTGGATTGTCTGGTCCAGACTCGATTATTTACAGACCGTATTTACAGCTGTAATATTCCTGATTGCGGCGTAAAACTAAACTCACTCAATCTGATGATGTCAAATCAGAAGAATACGTTGCATGCGGAAGTGTTAATCGCAAGAAGGGCCGGTGGGGTAGCCTAGTGGTTAAAGCTTTGGCTCATCACGCCGAAGACCCGGGTTCGAATCCCCACATGGGTACAATGTGTGAAGCCCATTTCTGGTGTCCCCCGGCGTGATGTTGCTGGAATATTGCTAAAAGCGGCGTAAAACCAAACTCAGTCAGTCAGTTAATCGCATGCAACATCCGCGGCAACTGCCGTTCTTGAAGTGTGCACAGGTGTCTTGTCCTGAAGCAAGAGAACACCAGAATGAATCAGTCCTCTTGGATTTTCTTCCACAGCATCTCGCAAACGGGTTTATTTCGCGTTAATTGTGTGATCTTGACACAGATATTCACTCATGATGCCTTTACAGTCCCAAAACACTGACGCCATGGCATTGCCAACTTATGAAACTCGCTTAAACTTCTTCGGCAGGTGGCATGTTTCAACTGTTTACTCCGTATTTTTGACTCAGGATCAAACTGATGTACCCTCGTTCCATCCTTAGTGACACTTCTCGTCAAGAAGTCATCCATTCATTCAAGCTAAAAGTGACTACAACCAAAAGGTTCATCTGCGTTTGCCTGGTACCTTAGCAAAAAGTTCTTGACTAATGTTCATTCTGGCTACCTTTGTCAACATTCGCTTTACACACCTTGTAGAGAGCTTGCTCATGTCAGCTTGTTGTAATAGCTTGAACTGATCCAAAACTGATGCCAAGCGTTTTTACAACGAGTCTGATAGTGACACAACGGTCAGACAGCACCGTAAGGCCTCAACATGGACGTCGATGGTGGCACTTTGGGCGCAACCAAACCCAGCTACACTTTCCGCGCTTCTCATGCCATGTTTGAATTCATCAAAATTCATTTCAACAGCTGGATATGTGGACAGTCTTCTCCAAATGTATTTGACTAATCTTCATGGATTTCATTTGGAGTCATTCCTTGTCTTTACAAATACTTCATAACAGACTGTTCTCATTTTCCTAATGTTGATGACTCCTATGTTACGTTCAAGTCAGTATCGCTGTAACTGTCAAAAATCATGTCAAAACTACACATTTTGGGGTGCTCACAGATGAATTACCAGTGAAGATCCGGGTTAGAATTGGTCTTCAGCAACCCATGCTTGTCGTAAGAAGCGACTAACGGGAGCTGGTGGTCAGGCTCGGATGGTTTGTATCTCAATTGCGTAGAACTAAGCTCATGCTGTTGATCACTGGATTGTCTGGTCAGACTCGAGTATTTACAGACCGCAGCAATTTAGCTGGAATATTGCTGAGTTCGGCGTTAAAACAACAAAATTCAATGACTGTGCTGCAAGGAAATGGTATTCGGTATCGTTTTCAGTTACACAACCTACATGAGACCATGGACGTTTTATTTGCCCCGTAGTGCTGACTATCAACCAGGGCTCATTATCAGGGACATTTGCTGTTCAGTAACCGTGGTGAGTGGGGGAACCATTCGTCTGTTCCAGTTGTTACCCGTGTCTCCTGTCTGTGGACGAAGAGACAGGGCGCAGACAGTATTCCTAATAAATATACGTTCCCGCAAAACTGACGAGGTATGCAAATGACAATAGCTTGTTGTTTTGTGCACATTGATGGATGAGCACCACAGCGGACGTTATATATTGTATGTCATCATATCATCACGCAATCAATCGATGTCTTCTCTTCACTGGACAGCAGACAGACGGTGATGACAGTATCTGTGCTAATGCGTGATAAATGCGTTATATAACCTGTGATACAGATGGCTACATGCGTGATGTAACCTGTAATACTGCTGGATGCATGCGTAATATACCTTGTAAATATGTTCAACACACAGAGACTACTGCAGAAGAGTCGGTCAGGCACAAATTATATCAGATTTTTTTTTCAAAAGGTATTTAAGGAGCAAAAGGAGTTAGATACGTCTAGATACAACCTAACTGACGTCCAAAAGAAAGCGTTTCTGTTAGATTATTTTTCAAATACGATGAAAATATTTTGAGTGAGTAAGGTTTTACGCTGTTTTTAGCAACATTCAAACAATTATCAGGGTGGGACACCCGGAACGGGCTTCACACATTGTACCCATGTGGGGAATCGAACCCGGGTCTTCGACGTGACGAGCGGAAGCTTTAACCACTCGGCTACCCCACCGCCCCGAAATTGTTTTGAAAAATGTTTTGATTGCGACTTACAAGTAACAGACATTGCTGATTGTTGTCTGACAGAAATCTGACTCGACCATATTCTGTTCATCATCATCATCATCATCATCATCATCATCATCATCATCAAAGGGATTCAGGAAACAAAATGTGACGTCATCCGACCAATTTCTTGGTAATCATACCTAATCTGACCCTCCACACAAACCGAAAACTAATTATTGGACTATAAAGGCGAAGATGACGTGAATCTGATAATGCCGAAGAACATTATTAACACTCACGATTCATATCGACACAGATGCGAGAGAGTTCGATCAAAGCGCGACTAACATATCAGTAAACCACATCTAGGACAGTAGTCCGTCATAATCTGACCTTAGGTCATCGCCATGGATTAGCCATTCACGGACGTGAAGTCGATCTCACACATGTGTTGGATACCAGTTGTCTCACATGGGTTTCTCATCCACAGGTGTGTGAGAAATTATCTGTCTGTCTGTCATTTTTTACTGCAAACGGCAGTACAATGCAATACAAAAATATTACCATGTGACACATTGTTGTTGTACATAGAAACCTTCTGAGGTTTAAACAAACAAACAAAATATACTGAGAGAAACAAAAATAGGATCACAGGAAAATTCAAGCTTTCCTTTAATTTTGTTCAGTTTTCATCACCACAGCGCTATTCAAAGCTGGTGATGAAAACTGGAAAATAATAAAGGAACGCTTGAATTTTCATGTGATCCTTTATTTGTTTCTCTCAGTATATAATTCCCTCGGCGTCCTTTGGAACTAATTCCTGTTAAACTGATGGTAAATTTATATACACAATCACGCCTGGGTCAGCCCAACCAATCGTTTTCGGCATATGCTATTTGGTATATCATATCACCCAATCAGTATGGGTATTACGACCGGATTTTTGGAGATCCATTCTGCCCCGTAGTGCTCACAGCGAGAATATACATCAGGCCCAGTAATAGCAGTTATAGGATTCTCGAGGCAGTTGAGCTTACACGTCGAATTCACAGTGTTGATCCAATCCAGGCAATGAATAACGAATACCACAAAAGGATTCCTTTAATCTCATTATTTCATTCATAAGGCAGGTAGGCCATATTACAGTCGTAACTTGCTATGCCGAGTTACTTCCCTTTTCTCATCATATATTGACGGAGTCTTTATCGTAAATTGTTTAGCGCTTTCTCTTCCAGTTCATCAGTTTGGCCATGGCAGCATAGGCGTGTCACCGGAATCATGTCGAATAATACAAACTGATTTCTTTAATCTTCGTGTTTTATTCACGAGGCAGGAAGGCCACGTGGTAAAGGGGTCGTAACTCGCTATGACGAGTTACGTCCCTTTCTTCATGACTTGTTGATTGTGGGTTTGGATTTCAGATTCGTCCTTATCATAGTTCTTTCTCTTCCAGTTCATCAGTTTATATATATCACCTTAAACATGTTGAAAATTCCTAGAGATGCATTTGTGAAAGGTGGGCAGTAGTGGTTAAAATCGATTGGTTAATTACAACCGATCAATCATCGACAATAATTGGTTAGCATCATTTACAAGTTTTCTTGTTTATGTTTGTTAATGCACCAAAACTAAAGAAAAAACATGCAGTTCTTTTTCTTTTTTCGTCGCAAACTGCACACAATGCATTTTCAAATTTTACATCTTTAAAAGATGATTAATATATTAGATACATTACTTTCTTGGACTCTTTAAGATA